ATAATGCCAGACGGAATGTGTTTTTCCTTCCAAGTCCTCAATGGTTTTCCCTTCTGTAAAGCAAACCTCATCTCCTTTTCTACCTGAACAAAAATAAAGGTAGCACCCTTCTCCATAGGACATACCCAGCACCGGAGCTACATCCTCACTGCTCCTATTCCTCAGCCAGTGTTGGTTAAGGAGGAACGACTGCTTCAGTATTTTTCACAACAGCACGGACTCTAATGTAACAAACATTTCTAAATTAAAGTGTCTATGTTGTTTAAAACAACTTGCTGATTGTATGAAAAAGAATGCCGAAAAAATGATTCCCTTCAGTGCCTCAAAACTAGAAATACAAATTTAAAGGTGTTTTTTTACTGGAATGTGGATAGGATAATGTGTAGGATATTACTACAGAATTTTGATTTAATTCCCTGTTGATGCAAATAACTGGATAACAAAATGCTGATACAATTTACTTTTGTAGCATTTCATTGTCTGATTTCAAAGGGGAGGAAACATGGGTAAAAATCTGAACTTCATGTTTTTCAAATACTATAAACCCCCAAGAATACATGTTCCATGAATTCGCTGACAACTTTGCAAAGTGATCAGCTCCTCATAACTCTCCAAGGAGGTACATTGACGTCACTGTACCCATTTTACAGATGAAGAAACAGAGCCATGTGAAAGTCGAATGACTTAACATGTTTAACCAAGGAATGAGACCCATGATTTCAAGTAGCCTAGACATGAACCTGATTTAATGTTGTAAGTTTTGCCTAATTATGTGATGATCTCAAAGCTCTCCTTAACAGACTATATATATAAAGTAAGTCTTCTAAAATCTAAAATCTTCAAACTAAAATATTGAGAAATGGTTAGTAGAGGTTCACTACTTGCAAGTCAAATTCCAATATTATAAATAATATAAGACTTTCCCGACAATCTATACCTCCAAAAACCCATCTAATTGTTTAGCAATATTTGATCCAAACAAGTTTTAACTTAACCCAAAACACTAAATTGCAGACACTTAATAGAATGCAATCCATACAAAAACTACACAAATTCTCCTGAGCAGTTATTTATTTATTTATTTTTTTTCCGTTTACTATGCAATTTAAACATGCACAAAAGTACAGCAGCACTCAAGGGAATGAATGTAAGTTGGTTCATAATAGCCGATGCTTCTAAACGCAACTGCTGCTCATTTCAAATCAAAATCTATTTTGATTTTTCAAGAAAAGCTGTCAGAACTGGTTTGAAATATGAGGTCATTTGGTTTCCTTAATATTTTAAAATAAAAGCAAAAAAAAGAGCTTTTATCACATCTATACATGTGGGAATTATGTATCACAGAGGTTTGCTTTATGGTGGTTTTTCAAAATAACTTAAAAACAAAAAACAGGTACCATAAACACATTGTTGAAGACTGGTAACTCACTTGACCTTTTCTTAAGGTGCTTATTAATAAACACAGATAAGGAATGTATGTGAAAATAGCCATAGGAGATCAATGTTTACAATTGTACTTAGAATCGTGGGGCAACTAAATCTAGTCCTCAGTCTGAGGAAATCATTCAATGAGTCTAATATGAGAGAAATAATTTACATGATTGAATTAAGACAACCAGCAAAACTAGACCATTGCTATAGTTTTATGATTTCTAAAGACATTTCCTTTTAGCTTAGGATCTAACGTAACTTTATTAAAACATCGTCATAACCTGTAAGCGTGGCTAACGTAATAGCCTTCCATTAGACCCTTCTCATTAAGACTCTCAGTGAGCATCATATTTTTACCCAAGTAATGTACGTTACAATGCTTTTGCAAACCATGCAGCCAGCCTTGCATACTAGTTTCCTATGTGCACTGTGTGCATTATACATGTTTGTGTTATTTATATGGGTGTGTTATTTGCCAAAAATAAGATACTCTTGTAGAAATTCTCTAAGTCTTTATGGAAGCAGACTGCTGCGTCTTTTTCCCACTGAGGGGCTGGTGGGTTCAAACTGCTGACCTTTTGTTTAGGAGCTGAGGGCTGTAACCATTGCTATTTGAGTATTTAAGCTGATTGAGTTAAAACAGCAAAGAATGGTTTCAATAAGCACAAGTGTTGTACTAATTTTCCAATCATACTCACAATTGGATTGTAGGTCCTTTAAACAAACAAAGCCCCTCATATTCCACAAAATTTGAAGAACTTCGATCTCAAATGACCTCCTGGGACAAATTATTTAAGCATCACCTGACTGACATACTAACCAATATAATGAGTCTCATTCAGCAATGATAATTTCACACATTTGCCTTCTAATAAGGCTGTGTTCCATTTAACTGATCTTGCACTAGTTATCCTGCTTCTGACAAAATCATGTATGCTCGTCAAGCAAGGATATGTATTTGACATGACACATGTGTATTATTTGTTTATGTAGGGAAAGTTGTGGAGGAAGGTCTTCAACAAGCATTGCACTTCATTAGCTTAAGTATGTCTAAAAAGGTACATTTTTTATGTATGTCACATACATGTATATGCTACATATACAAAAAATATGCTCCTTCAGCATAAACTTCTTTTAAATATAATCCATTGATTTGTTTTAAAATAACCTAAGTTCGGAAAATTTGATTACCTGTCATGTCTCAATGTGCACACAAGTGAAATTAGCACCTTCAGTTTCACCTTCAAAGGTTAACTAAACTTGTCACCATAGAGTCTATTCCACACTATTGGACAGACTCCTGTTGACTGACCCTACAGGGCAGAATAGAACTGCCACAGAGGGTTTCCAAGGCTATAAATCTTTACAAAAGCAGACTGCCACATCTTTCCCTGGATGAGTGGCTGGTGGGTTCAAACTGCCCATCTTTCAGCCAGCAGCTGAGCTCTTAATCACTGCGCCACTAGGGCTCCTTCAAAAGATTAATCACAGAATTTAAAGGAAGATTATTTTGACTCAAGGCCGTCTACATTTGCCATACATTACAGATGAATGCTATTCAAAGGTTTACCAATACATCTGATTTCAGAAGAGGCACAGGTTTGGGCAGTAAAGGAATATACTAAAGCCAGAATGCTATGTTTTGGTCTCTATCCGCTTCCTCACTAAATACTGAGCTACGTAATCTGTAAGGCAGCATTTTGGACAATAGGATAGGGAAAATCCTTGAAAGACTTACTAACCTATCAAGCTACCAACCAAAACAGTTTGGCCAAATGTGATGGCATAGTGTGGAGAAAAAAATTTGGGACTAAGATGTTAGCTTTTCTAGAATTTTCTAAGATGTGCTAGGTAAGAGCATCTTAATTTTTTCATTCCTAACAAGTAAAAAGGGCATGAGGACAGAGCCTTTGTTCATTCTTTTTTTTTTTTAAATTAGTGTCCTCAAGGACATCAAGCTGAAATCAACCGAATAGTTTCCTTGACACCAATCAAGATAAAATTTAACTTAGTCTTTCTCAAGTGCCAAACCAACTTATGTACCAAGATGACATTTCCCTAAGACTCTGGTCAATATACGTATCTCTAATCTAAAAACAAATATTCATACTCTACATTAAACTCAACATTTAAAATCTGAATGTGTAGTATACCTGACTTTGTTGCAAATTCGATTGTGTACCGACTGGGCTGTTTCATACTCTGATTTTCAAAAAAAAAAGAACATTACCTTGAGCCTTTCTTCATGTATTAGAAAGGCAATTTTTGTCCAAGTTAAACCTACAATGATTTCACCAGAAATATCTCAAACAAAAACTAAATGTTTAGAAGCATTATCCGGGTTGTTCTCTCACAGCTATTCAAACTCCGTGATCACAAAAGCACACAATTGATAGTGTTGGCAGACCAGGTCTCTGCCAGTTCCACTCACTACTCCAATACTTCTTCCTAGCCTCATTCTGTCCACTGAAGGACAAAGGCCTCACCATGGCGCTGATGGAACAGCTTGGCTCTGTTATTTCCAGGGCTTGTTTCCTTAAAACTTTTTATTGCTCTAAACTGCAAGGGTAAGTGACAAAAGGCTTTTGTAGCTTAGTGTCCAAAGAACTCTTTGAGACCAAATTCATTTCACTGGTAACCCAGACAGCGCTGGTTTCTTACTATAAAAGTACAGAGAAAGTTATTTTTTCTTCCAATTTAGGACAATTTTCTCACCAATACTATGTCAACACTGTATCAATGGGCATTTAAACAGTGAGATGACTCATCATTTTAATTTAAAAATAGTGTCTCTTGCATCTAATGCATTTTAAAAAAATCCTCCATTCTCACTAAGCCATTAAAATTTCACTTATCATTACTGATTTTCATACCCTCAAACCAGCAAGGTAGATATCACCTTGGGGGAAAAAAAAAAAAAAAAAGGAAAGGAAAAAACTACTATGTAACTGTTTTGCTGAGAAAATGAATACTAACACTTAGCAGCCTGGTCCAACTTTTGAGTAAATTTTGATCATTAATTCTCCAGCTGCATAAAACATAAAATGACTGAACTTTAAGCATAAGAATTAGTAAACAGACCTAAATCTTCTCTTTTTAAATAGTTAGGTCAGCTGCTTTGTCCAAGCAAGTTTTCTCCCACACAGAAACAGAAAACGGATCCAATGGTCTCTTTCCATATATATTTCAAATAAACCCTCTCAGATTGCAGAGTGAATTTCATTTTATCACCTGACTGTTCCAGGTGACAGCATGATGCCTTATTTTAAAACGATATAAAATAGAGCTGACTAGCCTTAATACACCACCCCCATTCTGGGGAGAAAAGACTTGGACTCAAGAATTAAAAAAATAAAGCTGTCCCAAGCATTGGTTGCACTACGTAGTTTGACAGGACAACATTTTATGTGGCAAACCACCATTTGGTGTGGTAGCAGAACTGCTTTCCAGTTTCCTTGTGATTCAGTGAGTCAAGCCTTTCTGCATCTAATTAGCATTTACAACAGAGTAACTGCAGAGGTAGATCTTTAGCAAAGGTTTAACAATAAAGACCACAATAGGCATTTTTATAATTTTAAAGAATTTTAATACAAACTTAATATAAACTATTTCAGTCCCTCTTAACATGTAAGACACTGACTCAAAATACTTTTATACCGTTTTTTTCAAGTATTGCACAATATAGGTACAAAATTAATATTTACGATTACATTTTCTTCCATAATATATAGCAAAAATCTTTAAACCTTTAACAGAAAATACATTTTTTTTGAAAAAGCAAATATTCGTACATTTTAATTCCACCACTAAAGGAATATCCTGTACACAATTTTTAGAAGAGTTGATGTCTTTAAGATGGATATTTTACAATTTCAGTAAAAAAAATACAACATGAAGCTGCTGCTGTCACAGATCACTGTAGTAAAAAGATATAAATGCAATACCATGTCGTAGAAACAATATATATATCCTCTGATATTTTACAAACTTTGTACTAAATTAAATTATACAATTAGAAAAGACCAATAAACCCACTTATTAGTGCCAATTTTTTATAAAAAAAAAAGAGAAAAAGAAAAAATCAGCCATGTCCTTGCTATATCTTAAATACTGTAAGAGGCCATATCTGAGAGTATACTTTAAAATATACAGTCAGTATAAAATAATTTTGTGCTTGGCTGGCAAATGAAAAATGATGCGTGTTTTATTTTTGTAACCAAGCTTGAATGTATCCTTACTCTTAGCTAAAAAAAAAAAAAAAAAAAATCTCAAGGGGGCATTGAAAAAAAAAAAACCCCTTGGCCGTGCATCTGAATTCATATTTTTTCTTTTTTTAGTTAGCCATAACAGGCTGGAATTGCTGGTTAGAATACTGCATGTTATTTAAACTAAAATTCAAGCCATCTACAAAAGATTTCTCGTTGAGGCCTCCATAGGCTGCAAACACATCAAAGGCATTACTGTACTGGAGAGGACTGAGGTTAAGGGGGTTGTCACCTGGGAACATTCCATTGGTACTACTACCTTGACCCTGCATATTAGGAAAAATAAATTCCTTGGCATTAGGAGAAAGAGCAGAGGTTTTCTGCTGCTGTTGCTGCTGGGGTGGTGGTGGCAGTGGCGGCTGGGCTGGCTGCTGCGGCTGCTGTGGCTGCTGCTGGCTGCCCAGGCCGAGCCCGTACAGAGAGTGCATCGAGGAGGAAATGGCTTTCTGCTTCAAGAGGTCATTCACATTCAAGCCGAGGTTGATAGGAGAAGTACGCGCAACTTTGTTGCTACGGCCACTATTCTTCATTTTGGTAGAGCCGAACTTGGTGGCAGCAAAAGTGGCAGTGGTGAAGGTTAAAGGCTGAGTGGACCGGGGCATGAAGGTAGGGCTTACAGCAGCAGAGTGACCGAAGGGAGGCGAAGGTGAGCTGGACACTGATGAGGCTGGGTCACTTATGGGCATAAAAACCTGGGCCTCTGGGTTAAAGCTGTTTTTAATCTCCTTATCCAACTCACATCCGTTTTCACTATTATCATCCACATAAAGCACCTTCACTGGTCCCTTTTCACCAATTTGGTAGGAAACTTCAAATGGGTCGATCCAAACACTAAGATCCTGCGGCAGGTTGCTGCGAACATCATCAATGTCCAAACCACTCTCTTTGGATGCTTGTTCAATCACTGGGTCCACTTTCTCCCCTATATGTATACATCTAAACCCTGATCCTTTGTATGGCTTTTCAGGATACCAGTGCCCTTCATATTTCTTTTTAAGAAGTCTTTCAAGCTCTTCACCAAAAATGTTGACACGTCTCCTGGGAAGCTTATTGTACAAATATGAAATAATAAAATTTAGTGCTACTTGGATTTCAAGCTGCATAGCTGCTATGCCACAAAGTTAGGTGTCTCAACTCCCCACCAAAAAAAAAAAATAGTGTTCAGTTTGTGGCAGAGAAACAAATTTTCATTCAAAGTGCTGGTATGAGTAGATTATCCTTCACCTTGAGTGGTCTTGTTCCTTAAAGAAACACAAAACAAAACAAAAGCAAACATGTCCAAATAAGATAAATGTAAGTCCCAAGATCTTCTTACCCCCAGAGTAACTGCACTTTTGAAAATACCCAATAGCCTAGAAAGTCTGAAAAATATAATCAGTATAAAATAAAGGAACATACAAATAGAAAATTGTTTATTAAAGTTCAACATCTCACAGGAAAATTGAAGAATGACTGTTATATTTTTTGAGCCCTGTTACTTTCTGTTTCTGAATAGAGTTCTGAAAAGAAAAATATTGCCAGAATGTGTAGATATTTCTTCTTTTTCTCCCTTCAATTATGACAATAATATTTACTGGAAGCTATTCTCAGTATAGGAGCTCTGGTGGCGCAGTGCCTAAGGCATCTGTTAACCAGAAGGTTGGAAGTTCAAGCCCACCAGCCACTCCACAGAAGTGAAGATGGAGCAATCTACTTCTACTTCTGTAGAGATTTACCGCCTTGGAAACCCAATGTGGTGATCGCTATAAGTCAGAATAGACTAGATGGCCGTGGGTTTAGTTCGTTTTTTTTTTTTTTTTAATTCTCTCTCTCTCTACACACACACACACACACACACACACACACACTCAAACACACACACACGCACCAGTTTTAAAAGTTGGTCATAAATTTTGGTTTCTGTTCATCAGTTTAGAAGATCTCCTAAATTTCAGTTCATTCTGGGTCTATACAGTTTAAATCTGCTTTATCATGAGAAATTTAGAAATTTGAGAAGTTATGAAAATTTCAACTTCCAAAGTACACGATGCTAAAATTAAAGGTTCTAAATATTAAATGAACTATCCTAGCGACTGATAATTTTGAACTAAATTATCGTATACAGTTGCAGTCTTAGATATACCTAAAGCCACAAACAATCTAGCTGCTTTGTGCTTTTTCCTTTCAATATGTATTTTTCTAAATCTGAAAGTATCTCTTCAGTAGCAAGTATAACAAAAGCAACAATTAATTTCAAAACTCTATTGATTACTATGTTTAAAGGGCAGGGTTTCTGAATTTTACCCAGATTTTAAAAAAACCACCTCCCTCCTTCCCGATTAAGGGGAACAGCCAGGAGAGGCTTGCATGATAAGGTCGACCTTTAAACGTTTGCTGGATCAGCACTGGGTGGGGATAAGAAAAGATCAAGGGCAAACAGAAGATATTTGCAAAAGGGATCTATTTGTACACTGAAGGTGATTAAATAGGACATTTGAAAATCAGGTTGGTATTAATCCATCTGTTCCATTTTCCAAATTCGTGGTGACAAAGGGAAAAGAACCCCTGGCTGCCCCGAAACTACAAACAGTTTCCAAGCCAAAGAGCCCGAGTGCTGGCAAAGGCGGCCGATTAAGCCACATCGCTTGAAGGTGCACCAGAGCGAAATTCAGGCTGGGTGGAAGGTAGTTTTAAAGCAACGCCTCAAGACAGGAGTGTGAAGAATTACATAAACAGCCAGTCGGGTCTCATTAGATTTCTGCTCACAGCCCTCGGAGCCCAAGCGCTACAGCAGCAGCAACAGCAAGAGGAGGTGGAGGAGGAGGAGGAGAGTACAAATCTCATCAGAGGAGGAGGAAGGCCGTGGAAAATGGAAAAGCAAACACTCGGGGCAGATCCCCAGGCAAGCTGGCCCGCAAGAGGTGGGGGCCGGGACCCAGGCAGGTCGCGTCGCGGCCAAAGAGGGTCAGCGCTCCCCTCCCCCTGCCGTAACCTGACCCGCCGCTCCCTGCCCCCCTCCCCGAGGCTCCTGGGACCTGGCCAGACCCCGGGGGAGCACCGGTTCCCTGGCACCATTTTTGGCCTCGGCGGCCGCGGCCACCAACCCTTCGAACCTCTGTGTTCCCATCGAGCCCGCTGCTCCTCCCGAGCGCCCCAACCCCCGATTCCCCAGCCCGCCTTTCCTCGGTCACCCGCCCGGGCCCTGGCCCGCCCAGCTCCGGCTCTTCGGCGCGCCGGTGCCGGACCAAGCCACCTAGGGCCGGGCCTCAGGAGCCCCTCCCCTCGGGTCCCGGCTGCTGTCTGTCCGCGGCCCGGGGCGCGACGCAGCCGTCCCCGAGCTCCCCGGGCTCGACGACGCTGCAGCCCCTTCTCCGGGAGCCTCAGCCTTGATACTTACGGGATGCTTCGGGGATGATTTCACCAGACTCCGCCGCCTGGTAGGGGAGAAGGGGCGGCAGGGCGGGGATACGGGGAGGGTCGGGAGCGGCAAGCTGAGTGCAAGACGACGACCCCGGGCCGAGGGCCGGAGCGGAGGGCGCGGAGGACAGAGACCTCGGGGCGGGCTTCAGGAGCTTGCTGTTTTTGGCTCGGGGTAGCTTGAACGGAGTCAGGTGAGCACGCTCACGTCTCAACACAGCCTGGTACCCCGGCCCAGCGTCCCCGTACTGCGCCTACTCCGCGCCGGGCCAGAGCTTCGCTCTTTCTGTCGCGGCGCGCGCCCCGCCTCTCATTTTATAGTATCCTCCCAGCCCCCATCTTCTCCCTTGGGGGCGCGCGCGCGCCCGCTTAGCGTCACACTGCTCCTGGCAGCGTAACCATTCCCCTCCCTCCCCACCATCACCCGAACCCTCGCCGACTGGCTCCGCCCCTGCCCCGCCCCCCGACGCCATTGGCCAAGTCCTGCTTGCCCACGTCCCGACGTGAGGTGGAACGCCAGGATGGGGAAGGCTACACCCCCGAGCTCCAGAAAGACCAATGAGCCAACGGTCTTGAAAGACTGTGGGCGGGATAAAAAGAAAACATGGAAAGGGATTGGAAGAGAGACGTGCCAGTGAGGGCAAAGGGGAGGGGTGGGCGGCTGATACTTGGTCTCAGAGGAGAGAGCAGAGGAGAAGGGGGAGGGGAGCAAAGCAGGTGGCGGAGCGGCCCAGGGAAATGGGGAGGAGAGTCTAAGGCCCCAAACGGGAGGGAAAAGTTGACAAAAAATGCCCTACCGAGTGGGATTGTGGCTGAGGAAAATCCCATTCGTGAACGAGCTACCAACTCGGCCTTCAGTCCACCCCAGGAAAGTCTAGAGAAAGGGTGAACTGTGATCGGACTCGTGCACCTGATTAATTGAATATTAATCACCTCTGGGGCCAAGGCCAACTGCCACCTAGAGAGCGGCAACTGCAGAACCCAAAGCTGCCGCGCCAGTCTGGGGGTGGGGAGGAGAGACCACTCTCGCCACACCTCCCGCTGAGGTGACAGTTTAACTGCCTCTACATTCGCACATCAGACCCCCCGCCCCCGTGCGACCTGGCCAGCAGGAGTTTGGAGATATGTGTAGCTTGAGACTGTAAGAAGAACCACATTTTATTCCAAACGTCCCAATCCAGGCCTCCGTGCCTAGGGTGTGGTGACACGATGCAAAATTGCGCACGCAAGCGTGTACTTCAAGTGCCGACTTTAACGTATGTACACATAATAAACATAGTGCCTTTTCGGGTAAAGTGCGTTTAAGATGACTTTCGGTTGAAATATGTGCGGTAAAGAGGGTACGGGGATTCAAGAGGGATTCAAGGGGCACGGATATCCACGAGGATGCGCCTCTTTCACAACCTGTAGCAGAGAAACACGAAGTTACAACGAGAGCAGACCTAACCATCCGTTTCTGCTAAAAATATTACTCACAGATAGCAACGACGCCTGATTGGCCAAACTTCTCCCTAGCAACCAGGCGATTGGCTGTCTGGTATCCAGGCGACAGACGTCAAACTCGTACTGGGAAAAGGGAGAGAAAGTCTGGGCGGGGCAGGGGGGAGGTAAGGGTGGGAGGTGGAGAAAGAGAAGCAATGAATGAAACGCCCACCGCCGGGCCTTCCCCCTTGCCCTTTCTTCTGCACTTGAGGAGTGCTTCCTGGAAAAACACCAGTTGGGGAGCTGCCTTCCCCTCGAAACCAGACGGCCTGAACTTTACCTGCTAATAGAAACTTAAACGGCAGCTTACTGAGGAGTGGGGTGTCCGCAGAGCTGGCCCTTGTACACCAGCTACGCTTCTCGGGTGCTTCACATGTTAGTCCTAGAGGCTTTTCGTTTGATGGACACAAAACCTGGATGTAGCCTTCTCCTCCACCCAGGCTCTCGTGTCCTCCTGCTTCCCTCCTTTTAGCAGGAACTGCACTGAAAAAGGAGATTTCTAAAAGTCCTTCTGCGTGTGAGACGGGGGGAGGGGAGATGGGTCGGTGGAATGGGTTGAGGGGGGAGAGTGATCAGGTGACTGATGTGTTTATGGTACAGATTCCTAAAACTCAAGCAGTGTTTTTTAAGAACATAAAAATTACTCGTGACTCCGTAAATTCGGATTATGCAGTATTTGGGTTTTTAGTTGTTAGCAGAGAAGAGTGAAATTTAATTGTAAAACTGTGGTAAACATTTTTAATTAAGATGTTCCTAACTCTACTTTGGAAACTTTCATGATATAAGTTATTTGTTTAGTATTTCCTTCTTTTTTGCTTATATGTATTTTCTACTTTTTCCTCTAATGAACGCTAACTTCACTGTAATAAAAACGAGTTTTTAAGATGTTATAATTAATGAAGCACAGACATTTCAAGCAAGTAGGATATTTTGAGAATGGTTTATGAAGAAAATGCTCTTAATTTTCTATGGGCTCCAGAAGTATAACTTCTCTTACCAGTAGGCAAAGAATATTACCGTAAACATCCAGGATTGCAAGATCATGTTTGGTGCCATGTGTCTTCATTTGCGATTTAGAAAATAGATCCATTGGACTTGGCTGATTAAAATTTCTAACTAAAAATACATGAATTGTAATTTTGTCAAGCATATCTATACTTTTTTTTTTTTTTAAATTAGGATTTGGGTGAAGATTTACAGAGTAAATTCACTTTTCATACAGCAGTTCACATATACTTTGTCTCATGTCATTGACCAAAATTTACAATGCAGC